GAGAGAGAGAGAGAGAGAGAGAGAGAGAGAGAGAGAGAGAGAGAGAGAGAGAGAGAGAGGCAGGAATGTGCAGGCAGTGCTTTTCCTAATTTAGATGGTCCTGTCCAATAACATTTCAATATGATAAATCTGAATTTTGAAGTTCGACTGAAAAATAAATTAAATTTAATGATAGATTTCAATTAGGCGTTAGACCTTGTTATGGGGTTCAGCCTCCTGATGAGTTGGGGAAACTCTGATGAAATATCCCCTTGTTTCTTATTCTCTTATCCCTCTCTGCCAATGGTTCAGCGGCCATTTCTCTATTGCGATATGTATGTTTCTGTATATTCTTCTGGAATGTTTAAAAGCATAGCTGCGGCACATCATGATGCACTGCATAGCTTACGTGCCCCTCACAGCGCGCGCATGTGCGCCGCACCGCCTTAAATGGCGGTCCGTGAAAGGTACACGTCAGCCCTCCTCTCAGAAGAATTGAAGCAGTGAAGAAAAAAAAAAAATACTGGGGGGCGTGCATGACAGCCCCCCTAAAAAAAATAAAAACAAAAATGTGTGTGTGTGTGTGTGTGTGTGTGTGTGTGTGTGTGTGTGTGTGTGTGTGTGTGTGTGTGTGTGTGTCCTAAATCTCAAATGTTTCCTACCTGTCTTCCAGCTCTGCTGCAGTCATGATGAGGGTGGGTTGTGCTTGCGGAAACTGTATGTCTGACACCCTCATCATATGGCTGTACTGGATCTGAAACATAAGGCATTGCTGCACTACTCGTATCTTTCCATGTTGTAGTGAAAGATTCGTTCTCGTTTTGCACTACTAGCCAAATCCAAGCAGGACAAAAAATCACGGCAGCGTATGTTTCCATGTTGTAGTGAAAGATTCATTCTTATTTTGCACATTTGGTGAGTAGTGGAGCGAGGCCAAAGTGCCGCACTGTCAGAGGTAGACAGAGACTACTTCAGGTCGGAGTGGCCGTTACCCCCTCTCTTTAGATGCACACAACATGGTTTTGAGATCGGGTGCATCGGACCTCACATTGAAAGTAGCTTACATTTTTATTTTTATTTTTCGTTTTGTTTCTAAGTATGCGGAACCCTTTCCACGTTTGGAATGCTCATGCCCTTGTGGCTTACTCACCAAATGTGCAAGACGAGAATGTGTCTCCCGCTGGAACATCGAGAAATACACCCGCCATCAGGGTAACTGGCGTTCGGGAAGGATCGAACGCCCGAACCAGAACGCCCGAACGTATGGGACCCCTTGGGGATGCGTTCGGCCGTTCGGGCCCAGACCCACAAAAAAAAAAAAAAAAGTCGTCAAAAAAATCTGAAAAAAAGATATGTTATGGAAAAACATAAATTAAACAAGATTTGCCTGAGCATTACATCCGAATTCCTAACCAAATTTGAAATAAAAATAAAATACCGCAAACAAATACTTATAATAAAAATAAATAAAAATAAAAAGAGAATTAAATTTAGTGAGTGTGCGAGCATGTTTTCGACAGCGCCATCTTTGGCGATTTTTCTTTTTTTTTTTGGCATAGCTAAATACCCTGAAAATTTACAGATGTGTATTTCACATAATACAAAACCCACTAAAAAAGTTTCAAAAAATAATACAATTGTTGAGACCCCGAACTAAAGTGAAAACAAAAAGTAAAAAGTGAAAAAAAGCGTGGGCGAGCACGTTTTGACACCGCCATCTTTGGCGATTTTTAATTCTTATTTGGCTGATTCAAATAACTTGAAAATTTAAAGGCATGTACCTCACGTCATAGAGAACTCACAAAAAAAAATTCAGAAAAGAAAAAATATTTTTAGGCCCCGAAATATTTTTTGGCGGGGGCCGAACGCTGTCGGCTTCGGACCCTGTACGGGACCCCGAACACCTGTACGAACGGAGGTCTGCCTGGGGACCTCCGTACGTACGGGCTGGTGACCCTGCCCACCATATTTTTGCCTTTTTGGCATTTGGTGAGTAGCGCGGCGAGGCCATCAGTGTTATGTCGTGATCAGTCCAGGAGAATTGGACAAAGAACTCTGACACAGTCTTGTTTTTCCTTCTTTTTTTTGTGTTTTTCGGTGAGTAGCGCGGCGAGGCCCTCAGTGTTATATCAGTCCAGGAGAATTGGACAAAGCACTCTGACACAGTCTTCTTTTTCCTTCTTCTTTTGGTGTTTTTCCTTTACAGTTGGTGGGAAATTCAAGTAGAAGTCACGGTCCTTCGGGACATCCCTTAAAAATGGAACGATGCAGAGAAAGAAGATTAGCATGGCCCCTGCGCAAGAATGACATGCGTAAATCGAGAAATGATCCAAATTAAACCAAAAAAACGACACGTACAAGTCCTGCCTCTTTCTTGGGGAACGGAAATTCATACCCGACACACACCTATCCCCCCTGTGATAACGGGGACACAGCAGGTATGGTTTAGATGCATTCGAAAATTTTAAAATGTCAAAAATATAACTTTGATGCTCTCTCTCTCTCTCTCTCTCTCTCTTGTTTTCCTTTTTGACCTATGAACAGCACATCAATCAGTGAGGATCTAGGACAGGTGGAGTTTATCCTTACTGACAAGACTGGGACGCTCACGGAGAATGTTATGGTTTTCAAAAAGTGCTTCATCAACAAGGTTGCCTACGGCAATGACAATGGCGATGCTGCTCAAGGTTAGAGCCCTGAGCCAGGGAATTTTGCTGCACCCTACTAAAGTACCCATTCCCTCCTTGCTCTCTTTCTCTTTCACACATCCGCTCAAGTACCAATTCCCTCTCTTCATCCCTCTGCCTTCCTTTCTCTCTCCCTTGTTTTCTCTCTCTTTCTTTCTTCCTGTCTCACACGTCCACCAAAGTACCCAGTCCGTCCCTCTCTCTCTCTCTCTCTCTCTCTCTCTCTCTCTCTCTCTCTCTCTCTCTCACTCTATCTACATCTCTCTCTCCCCCCCGCTCCTCTCTCTCTCTCTTTCTCTCTCTGTCTCTGTCTCTGTCTCTGTCTCTGTCTGTCTGTCTGTCTGTCTGTCTGTCTGTCTGTCTGTCTCTCTTCCACACACACCAAATAGCATCCTTGTGCGCAGAGTTCTCTCAAGTGATGATCTTGTGGCTTGAAAATCCATGCAGTAGTCTTGCTGGAGAAAGAGAGGGAGGGAGGGCGCTGAAGACTTTGTTAAACGGAACTTGAACCATTTTGCTGTTTGGCTAGTTGTTCGTTCTTTCTGTGTGTTCCCGATTACTTTTCAAAGTTCTTTTTTCCTTCCTACCTGTCTCTATCTCTCTCCCTCCTCTTCACGTTTTTTGCTGTTTAAGCTTTTTTCTTTTTTTTCTTTTTTGGATTAAACTTCATTTTAAAACACTCTTTTGAAGGGATGGCATCCCCCCTTAACTCTAGGGCGTGGTCACTTCAGCCCCTAACTCTAGGGCTTTTTTTATAACCGCCTCCCTTTACTGCACATAAGAGGGTAGCTGGTGACTCTAGGGCTTTGTCCTCTCAGCCTTTGGATGCAGAATTCGTTTGTAACAAGAGTCAAGAGCTGCCCTCTATGTGTATTAGACCACCAGCAACCGTCCCAGCAGCCATTGTCTTCCGACTTTTTTTTTTTTTTTTTTTTTAATTTGATTGTCTTCCGACTTAATTGTGTACAATCGTGATTTTCGGGGCCTCTATACACTGTATACAGCAAAAAAGAAAAAGAAAGAAAGGGAAGGAAAAGAGAGAACAGGATGTACGATGTTAGTAGTGTGTTGTATATTCCCCAGAAGGGCCAGAAGTTTATTCGTTTGGATTGGAGGCAAAGTTCTGCAAGTTCAAAATTTTCTAATTTGCTTTGTTCACTATGCCAATTGCTATGTACTATGTACTATGTAATTTGTAGTATACGTCACTTTCATGTACTAGTGCTACTTACTATATGTGTTATGTTGTATACCTCACTTTTATGTCCTATGTAGTATGTACTATGCACTACTATGCACTATGTAGTGTCCTATGTAGTATGTACTATGCACTACTATGCACTATGTAGTATACCTCACTTTTATGTGCTATGTGCTATGTGCTATGTGCTATGTACTATGTACTATGTGCTATGTACTCTGTAGTATGTAATATGCACTATATAATATGTACTATGTAGCAGTGCTGGGCAGGCAACCGGCCGGTTGAGCTACCCCGGTCCAACCGGAGCCGGACCAGCCCGGGGGGGGTGAACCGGGAAACCGGTTTTGAAAAAAAAGTGCCCAAATATCTTTTTTTTTTTTTTTTTTTTGGGGGGGGGGCAGATTCCGACTGCGCTCTTCAAGAGCTGTCCGAAACGCAATAAAAATTTCAAGGTACAATATTTTTCAGGGGGCTTCCAGAAGGGGGCAGGGGGTTATTATGGACATATTCAGGCAACTATGGCTTCCTCGGGGAGGGGTCAAGTAAGCAAGTTCACTTATCTGACCCCCCCTTGGCTGGAGCACTTCGTGGAGTATGTCATTTGATATTGATACCCCACGAGCTGAACCAGATATGATGAGAGGAGGTCCTTGCCCGAAATTATAGCTCTTTCCAGAGTATATTTCGACAGCAGAAAAGTTATGGTTCCAGCTTTCAGCTCGTGGAGGCAGAGCGTTTTCTGTTTGTTGGTTTCTACATAAGGTGAGTTGTCAGTCCGGAAGTATCTTGCCTGGCAGTCTGTCCAGATACATGTAGTGGAGCAAGGTCCATTCCAGATAGATAGAGAGAAGAATATAGCTTAGGTCCATTCTTGGGATTGCACCTCGGACGGCTCTGAAATCATGATTCCAAGATCCGAACCCATAACTTTTTCCACAGATGGCAGGGACGTCGCAGAAGGATATAATCTCAGCAGAGTCTCATCAGAAGCATAGTGTTCCCCTCGTGGCTGAGGGTGAAAGAGCATCAGATGTTGCCAATGGTAACTGGTCCATTGGACCACAAGATGACAAATTGGAGAAGGGGCCTACCCGACCCACATCGTAGGAAAAATGCATGGCTGTTCTCCGCTGCTGATTTTTCTTAAGAAATGGGGTCCTGGCCGATCTTTGGCGCTGATCTGCGACGATCGGCGGCCAAGATTGGCCACTTTCTGGACTTGAAAAATCCGGGCCTACAGGACCCGGTTTCGAAATTGCGGGGCAGGGCCCGCCCCCACGAGGCCTCGGGAACACATACGCGCAGGCAAAAAAAAAAAAACAGCCCCCAACTGGGAGGGAACCGGCCCGGGCCACCGGCCGGTCCAACCGGGAGGACCGCGGATGAGGTAGGGGTCCCCGGTCCATCCGGGGACCAGCCCTGCTATGTAGTATGTACTATCTATGTACTATGTACTATGTACTATGCACTATATAGTATGT